TGCTTTTCTGTTTCTGTTTCTGTTTGTTATTAACTAAATAAAAAGTTATTATTATTGTACCGAGTGCGGTAGTACTTTTTTCTCCGCTTCATGACCGCTTTCCACTAACCTAAATTTTCTTTTATCTTTTAAGCCAATTTGGTCATGACTTCAGTATATTAATTTCATATAATGGAGTTTTAGAAAACAGTTTTTTTTTTTTGTTAAATGAGTAGAATTAGAAAATACATACTATTTAGAAACAAAAAATGAAAATAATTATAAACTGAAAATAATAAATCAAATTTGTGAAAAGTTGAACTAACTTAAAAATAATTAACTAATTGAATGTTAAGTTTTTGGATATTAAAGTCCATTAATTTTGGTTGGTTTACTATTAAATTAAAAATAATAAATTCCCTTCTCTGTAAACTCGACATTTATATACATTCATACTTACGCATAGACGCGTATATGCAGTGTAATAAGCACAGCACAGTTCCTATTTTTAAAGTAAAATAAAGTGGAAAAATAATATTCCTATACAATATACAATAAAAATACAATAAAAATAATAATAATACAATATACAATACAATGATATTTCTATACAATATCTATAAAAAAAAATATTTTCAACACTTTAACCGTAAGCAAAATGACTCCAAAAACTCTTGAATAAAATAATATTTTTACGAAATAAATGTACAGAAAATTAGCTACTGACAAAAAAAATGCGTGCCTCAATTTTATTCTAATTAAAATGCAATTTACTGCGTCTACATTCGGCTTATTATAGTCCTTTATCGTATCCTTATAATCTATCACCAATACACTCCATTTTTCTGACCCGGCAGTTCTCCAATCACATACATTGTTATGTAGTAGTTGTCTACTATTTGATCCATTCATCTTTTCTTTAGTCTACCTCTCTCATGTTCCTCGCAAGTACTTCTTTTACGACTTACGACGCTGCTGTTGTATCTGCGTCTAGACGCATCTTTTTTGCACGGAGTACTGTCTCCACTTGCCTCCACTCCACGAACCAGTTTGAGAACAACTGGGTACTACGCTAGTAGTAAGGGTACTACGTTTTCCAGAGTTCACATGCCACCAATATGTGCTTGCAGGCTGGCTCTCTCGGTTGACCATTGATTGCACTCAAAAAATGTAAGAGCACACATCGTCGACATCTGTCTCACCATAGATGCAATTCTGCTGTTATCGAATGTCGAATGTACCCGTGCCCGGAGACGAGTTGCGTCAGATAATAATTGACTTCACCGAACTTTCTTGTGGTCCAGGCGACTAAGTCGGGGATGGGTCTTGCAGTCCATCTTTCACTAGTGTCGTTGTTCCACCGGTTCTACTACTCTAGCATTGTGTGTTACCGATAATTTGTGCTCACGCTGTTGTTGTCGTTGCTTTGTCGGCTTAACCATGCCAGCCTTCGTTTCATGGCCATGAGTTCGATGGATATTGAGTTATTACCTAGTTTAAACTACTTCTTAATAGAGCATAATATTTAAATATATAGGGGATATTAACAAAATGAGAAGATTTAGTACCGATAGAGATTGTCATTATGTAAACTCTATAAAAGGTTTAAATTTGCACTTGAACGATGAGGTCATTAGCGTTTGCTTTTGACTACGCTTGCTTTCATGCACCAACAGTTACTGAGAAGAGTAAAGCTTCATGCACTTTATGTAGCTCTATCGTTAGATCAAGAAATGTCTTATTGCAGAACTGCACATAAATAGGATGATACAACTTATCTAATCGATTGATTCTGATGTAATATCCATAAATTTATTATACAATTTTCTGCGTATTGCAAATATCGTCTTATTTAACATTGGATACAAAAGATACAGTGATGCAAGTGTAATAAATTTAAATACTCGAATAAATATAAGTAAAAATGCTCACCTAGATTTTACTTGATTAGTATCTTTCTAGAACAATGAACATAGAACGCTGTAGGATTCATGGGCCCTACATAATTTTATGTTTCGCATACTGTTTTCAGTTTTTATTCTAACGTTATGTAATATATTTTATAATACAGCTGTCTTACTGTATCTATCCCCCAGTCAGTTAACTATTTATATATTGTTCACATTTCCAACTCTCACTGTCTCTGAAAGTTTGTTCTCAAATGTTTTCTTTGTGCACTCAACAAAACTTCTTCTGTTAAAGTTGGCTGCCAGAAAACCATTAGCAATTCTTGACATTATGCGCTTCATTTTATATTCATTATCAACATCCTGTAATTCACTTCTTATAAGGTCGTTTTTTATTCTGTCATGTCTAGTTTTTTACATTATTCTTCTTAGGAACTACATTTCCAAGGCTGTCATTTTGATATGCTCTCTCCCGTTTACTCACTAAATTTCTATTCCATATAGTAAAATTGATTTGATGATTGTGTCTTGAACTTAAAGCTTTGATTTCTTATCTATCTCACGTTGACTCAACATAATACGGTTAACCTTTCAGTGTGGTTCATTTCTTTGTGACCCAGTTGCGTATTTCATGATATATTTATCTTTCCGCATTGATGTTAATTGATATTGGTGGCATTATAATAGTATGTTTCAAATTTTTTTTAGTTAGACCCTTTGGCAGAAAATGTTAAACCGTTTGAGTTGTGGCTCAATGTTTGATTAACCTTTCTTTCGTCGGCATTAATCGTCATATACTGATAAACTAAATCAAATTTTTTTTTTATTTCTCCTAATGTTTTCTACAACCTATTTAATTTCCATGTTATATGAGTAGGTATAAAACCATATATAAACACACAAACTTCTTATTTTACTTTGTTAAAAAGCTGACCAATTTCAGACACGCTTCTTTCGAGTTTCACTGATGGTCTTTCCTCTTTTCTTTTGTTAAATGAGTATCTTTTAAATATAAAAGTGTCCAAATTATGTGTGGGCCCCATTTCTAAAATTCATTTACAAATCGTTGCCCAAAAAAAAACACGAGTTACAACAACACATGGAAAATCCATAAACAGAAAATGATTAATATCCAACCCAATCCCAACGAACTAAGATAAAATTTTAATTAAAGTATTTATGCTAATTTTTAATACTTTTAAATAAAATTATTTCAATATTAGGAAATTAATTTTTAGTTCTGTTATTGTTTTGCCGTTGTGTGCGGCTTTATAAGTTTATGAGGCATGCATAATGATTTGGTAACAAATCTTTGAAAAATTAGACTTGATACGAACGATCCAAACCATTCGAACAATTCGAACGATGATGAAGAAGTGCACTTTCACTGCATTAAGCGATAACCAAGATACAAGATAAAAGCAAAATTACAAGATTTGTTATATGAAGAAAGCAATAACAGTCTTACAGCGTTTCAAGCCAGCAGTGAATAAAATAATATTTTATATAATTTTAATGAAATGGGAAACAATTTCAATTATTTTTAAAATATCACAATTTTAGTTTTCTGACCGCATACTTAACCTTTACTAAATTTACTATAAAATAATAAATAAAACTTAGTAAGAGATTTTTGGCTCGATATCACCTAATTAACACAGTTCCAAGTATTTCCAATAGAACACGCCCACCTAAACAATACCACAATCTTCTACTCGCGTTTATGTCCAAAAAAAAGATTAACAAAACTTGGCAACCGAAAACCTCGTTTATTTATTTATTTTTTTTTTTTTGCAATTGACAACTTTTTGAACTTCTCATGCACCTTCTGGTGTTTTTTGTACTTGTTTTTAATTTTGGCCAATTGCCTTTCACTTTTAGTTATATTTGCCAAATTGTATCTTTTTATGTATACCATTAAATTCTTACATCTCAGAAGGATTTAGTCTTTCCGTTTGCTACATAATTTAATTTATGAGAAAATTTCAGATATGGAAACTGCCAATATCTGAACTTCTATTGCTGGCTGGTTTAAACAAAACAAACGATGACAAAATGGATGTATTATGGAGTTACGAATAATGCCGAAATCTCCTTTTAAAAAAATTTTATGTTTTATTCTATTTGACAGTCCGCGTACTGGTGCTGATTGACTTGTTAATGACAAGACTGTTCCTATCTCTGAATTGTGGGCTTAAATGAATAACAATCTCCGTAGATACTATTAACTAACCGGAGCAGTAACAGGAGAATATATATAAATATGTACAATTATGTGCAAAAGTAAAATAATCTGTTTTTTCTATATGTTAGCATCGATTTCTATATAACATATTTGCTTGCTACAAATGTACACTACTGACCGTCAACGTCAGAAAAATATCCTGAGCACATAAAGGTTAATATATTTGTTTTACTTAGTTTTATTAGATGTGTACCAAAAAAAATTAGGTGTCAACTACTCGCTATTGTTTTTAATAGTTATATCCTAAATGATTGAATAAAAAATTCTCAAATTCAAAATTAGTTTTTAAGAACCTCCGACTTACTTTCAACTATTAAATAAAGTTATCTTCAACATTGTCAACTGGGATTTATGACTTCTAACATATAACATGGCATATTTTTAGTACACTCCATCATCAATATTGTGATTAACTATCATTTTATTTAATTATAGTAGTTACATTGTTTATATTATTTTTTAACAATGCTCATGGAGTCAACCAATAAAGGTGTCCCCCCATTGACTACTGTCATAATTTTAGGTCAAAGGAAATAAAGCGAAATATCATATGCAGGATAATCTCCTCATTATATACTCTGAACCATTTAGTAAATTCACTTTAATACTCTTCTCTATTTTTTGGAGTCCTTCTATATTCAATAGATTCTATTGTGAGAAATATAGCAAATCTGTCTTCCACAATTCCACACTTTAAAATAATTAAATACATATATTGCGCAATTAATTTTTTTTTAACTACACCAAATACTATAAAACACGGTTTTTTCTTTTAATTTTTATTCGTTTCATTTTATACACAAACCAAAAATAAAAATAGTTATTTATGTTTATATAATGCATACTAATAATTGTTTTACATTGTGCAGGTGGAAACAAGTTGTGAAATGTATCGTGCTGTTATGGAGGAAGTAGTGCGATTTCTTGATCGTTACCATAACCATAAGCAAAACAATCGCAATAACATGGAGCAAATATCTCGTTCGAAAAGCCTTTACCACGTCTATGCCGGAGGTCATGAGAACAACCCACATAGCGATGAATCAATGGCCACGTCGTATTTGCGCACGCGCAGTAGCACCAATCTTATTGATCTAAAGCAGTCGCCACATTTATTGCCACCACCAGCATCTACCCACAATGATGCTGCCACAGTGGCCAATATTAAACACAACAAACTAAGCGAACCGACTTATGATGCTGTAGCACCACCGAACTCATACAGCACATTTAAAGATTTTACATGGTATGTACCACTCCTTTACACACATTTCTGCCAATATAAATCACCTCATTTAAATTTAAAACAACATTTATTTTCCATTTCCAGGCGCCGTTCACCGAAGCAGAAACAAAACGATAATCGTACCCACACACCTGCACTAGATGATGTGGAAGAGAAACTGAACCAAGAGGCTTTTCGTTTATCTCGTACCATACACAATCTATTGAATACGTCCACACAACAACCTGTTTTAACACAACACCGTAACTCACTGTCCGCATTAAATTTAGCGCGTTTAAATGTCAAAACACCGAATGGTTCTACATTGACTTTACACACGCCCACTATTCACAATTCTACTAGCCTCACACTAGCGCCAAACACTAATGATGTTGATACTTTAGTTAACACAACAGTTTCGGCTATTGTTGCACCACCTAAAGCAGCCACACTTGCCAATGCCGATATGCTCTTCTTGCGTTCAGCAAATATACGAGACTCTCGACTTTCACTGCACAGCACAACAGATAGTTCCGTGCATTCCACAACATCATCATCATGTACTACTTCTTCTTCCTCAAAGATTGAAACTGATGATGAGCCCACCTTACCTTACATATCCGGAGCGCTCTTGTGTAATAACAACAACATTAACAAAAACAACAAACAAACGTTACCTCTATGCTCTACCACGGAGGATGAAAGTGGCTTCAGCTCAATCAGTTCTTTTCAAGAAATCGGCGTGCCATTATGTTCCACGCCATGCAAAAAA